TAACTGCACAAATTAAGGGCTGCTACTGGGACATTTTTGTTCATGCATCTGTCCTGGGTTGACCATGCCTACTCTCCCTTTCCTGTCCTTCCCAATCCCCTTCCCAGTCCCTACCAGTCCCTAATGGCCCCTTCTATTTAGGTCCTTTTTAAGAAGAAGTTTCTACAGGCGAAAGAAAGCATGTCACACTTGTCTTTCTAAAAATTATTTTGGGGCTGGAGAGATGGCTTAGTGGTTAAGAGCACTTGATGTTCTTCCAGAGGACTCAAGTTCAGTTCCTAGCACCCACATCAGGCTGCTCACAACCACCTGTAACTCCAGCTCTTGGGGCTCTGACGCCCTCTTTAGGCCTCTGTGGGTACTACACTCATGTACAGACCCTCGTACACATAAATAAAAATAATAAAATATTGCTTTGTTTTTGAGACAAAATCTCATGCAGCCCAAGCTGGCCTTGAACTTGGTGTGTATCTGAAGCTAGTCTTGAACTCCTAATCCTCCAGGCTCAGCCTCCAGAGTGCTAGAATAAATCAGGCATGATGGTACATGCTTGGAACCTTAACACTTGGGAGGTAGAAGCAGGAGGATCTTGGAGAGTTCAAGGTCATCCTGGGCTATGAAAACATGTCTCAAAAAAGGGGGAAAGGGAGAAAGGGGGTTGGGGCTGGGGCTCAGTGGTCAGAGTGCTTGCCTAGCATATATGAAGCTCTGGGTTCCATCCCTAGCACTGCGTAAACCAAGTGTGGTGGTGCATGCCTATAATCCCAGCACTCAGGAGGTAGAGGTAGGAATTCAGGGTTATCCTCAGCTACATAAATGAGTTAGAGGGGTTACATGAGACATTTGTCTCAAAAAAAGGGAAGAAAGGGAGGGAAGGAGGGAGGGAGGGAGAGAGACTTTTTCTGGTCTTTTTAAAAAATATTTTATTTTTATTATTATTTTTATTTTATGTGTACGAGTGTATTGCCCGCATGTATTTGAGTGCACCCGTGTTGTGCAATGCTGTGGAGGTCAGAAGAGAGCTTTGGATTCCCCTGGCACTGGTGTTAAGGCGGGTTTGTAGCTGCCATGTGGGTGCTGGGAATCGAACCTGGGTCCTCTGCAAGAGCAGTCAGTGCTCTTAACTGCTGAGCCATCTCTCCAGCCCCATTTTTGGTCTTTTTGCGACAGGGTTCCCTGTAGGTTCAGCTGGCTTGGAACTCGCTATGTAGACCAGGCTGGCCTTGAACTCACAGAGATCTACCTGCTTCTGCCTCCTGAGTGCTGGGACTATAGGCATGTGCCGCCACACCCGGCCCAGAGAGGCATTTTTAGTGAGAATTTGCATGCTTTTGTCCTGAGTTCAGACTCCATTATATGTTTTGCATTCATATCCCATGGAACGTTCCAGGTGGTTAATGGATGAGTGTTGTCAGTCTCTCCCTCTACAACACAAGCTATCTGAGTATAGACCGCTCACCATTGCATCCCAGTACCTACCCATGCATGAATGCAGTTGGTGCTCCATAAATGTCCTGCAGGGCTGAGGACATGGTGATTCATAGGTATATTAATCTCAGCACTCAAGAGGCTGAGGCAGGAAGAGCACTGTGAGTTCAAGGCCAGCCAGAGCTACATAGTGAGACTGTCTCAAAAAATAAAAATAAGGGGACTGAAGAGATAGTCTGGTGGGTAAGAGTACTTGCTGTGAAAGCATGAGGACCTGAGCTTGAATCACCATTACCAACATGAAACAAATGGGGCTGGAGAGATGGCTCAGTGGTTAAGAGCACTGGCTGCTCTTGCAGAGGACCCAAGTTTGGTTTCTAGCACCCACACAGCAGCTCACAACTGTCTATAACTCCAGTTCCAGGAGATCCAATGTCCTCTTCTGGCCTCCTCATGCACTAAGTGCATGTCTTGCACATATGTAAAAGCAGGCACACACATACACACACACACACACACACACACACACACACTTATAACCTCATCAGTGTGGGGAGTGGAGACAAAAAGAATCACTGAGGTGCCATTTAAGCTCCAGGTTCAGTGAGTGACCCTGTCTCAAGGGGACAAGACAGAGAGTGATAGAGCAGGACACTGATGTCCTTCTCTGGTCTTTGTACACTCCTGTGCACATGCACATACATCACATTCACTGATACACATACACACACATACACAAAAACAATAAAAGAAAAAATAATTATGCTGGGCATGGTGGCGCACACCTTTAATCCCAGCACTCGGGAGGTAGAGGCAGGCGGACCTCTGTGAGTTTGAGGCCAGCCTGGTCTACATAGTGAGTTCCAGGACAGCTGGGTCTCCAGAAGACCCTGTCTCAAAAATACAAAAAGGAAAAAAAATTAATAAAATAAAACTGGATGCTGGGATGATGGTCCCAGGTCACATGTGAGACTGAACTCCCATCTAGTGACCTGTGTCCCCTCTGCTCCTCCCTGAGTGGTCAGCACTTACACCTTCAGGACAGCTTGAGAGGGATCCCCCAGACACTTTCTAGTGTAATTGTCTTCACAGCCCTTCCTTCCTCAAATCTGGCCTCTGTGTCTGTTTATAGCCCTGGCACAGCCTGTGAGATCCCTGGAGCCCAGCACCCATCTGGAGGAAACATCAAGTCTTCCAGGCCAGATGTTGGTGGGCTGCTCTATCTGGCCTGTCCAGACCTAACCTTCCCAGCTGACTCAATCTCTACGAGCCTCAGAGGCCTCCCCTGGTCACTGTCTAGGACCCAGACAGCTCTCTGTGTGCCCTGCCTGGATTGTTGAGCTTCCTCAAAGATGGCAGTGCCTTGGACTCATTCACTGCTGGTGTTGGGTCAAGGTTTGGCCAAGGAGTTTTCATATCAAAACATCACAGCTGGTCCCAATCCCCTTGTGTGCCTTGGATGGCTGGAGGCGTTCCTCATCCATCCCCATCTCTGTCCTCCCCTACAGTAAGCCATAGCTCCCAGCCTGGCTCTCTACTGCCCTCTGGAGGTTGTTCTCAGCAACTCTACCAGGGAACTGAACACATTACCCAGTGTCTTCCTCCATGAAATAGCAATAAAGGCCCTTGCCCAGCAGGCACGTGAACACATGTGAACTCTCTTTGAGGACTGCAAAGTTAATGAATTGCTAATGAATGCTGACCAAGAGTTCAGCTGAGAAACCTGTAAAAATGATAGGTGTCAGCTAAAAGAAGCGACTCCCCCTGAGCCTGCCCTCCCCAGGGCCTTTGTACATGCTGTTCCCATTGTGGGAAACCCTCATGTGACTAGTCCCCTCTGTCCTCTGCAGTAAACTAAGGTGTCACCTCTTCCAGGAAGTCTTCTCAACATTTGCATCAAGGTCAGCTGTCTTTTCTTCCTTTCTCCTCCTCTTCTTTTTCCTTCTTTAAAAATATTTTATTTTAAGCTGGGCATGGTGGCGCATGCCTTTAATCCCAGCACTCAGGAGGCAGAAGCAGGTGGATCTCTGTGAGTTCAAGGCCTGCCTGGTCTACATAGTGAGTTCCAGGCCGGCTAGGGAAGCCCTGTCTCAAAAAGACCAAAAAAAAAAAGATTTTATTTTTAATGTTAATTGTGTGGTGTGTGTGTGTGTGTGTGTGTGTGTGTGTGTGTGTGTGTTTACATAGGTTTGTGTATGTGAGTGCAGTGCCTGCAGAGGTCAGAAGAGGGCATCAGGAAGTCGAGGCAGGAAGATCAAAAGCTGAAGACCAGCCTGGATTACATAGTGACATTCTGTATTTTTTATAAGTTCTATTTATTTGTTTTTATTTTTATGTGTATGAATATTTTTCCTGCATATCTGTAAGTGCACATGTTAGAGGCCAGAAGAGGGGATCAGATCCCCTGGAACTGGAGTTGGGACAGTTGTTAGCTGCCATGTAGGTACTGGGAAACAAACATGGGTCCTCTGCAAGAGCAGTCAGTGCTCTCTCCAGCCGTATGACTTTCTTTCTTTCTTTTTTGATTTTTAAAATATTTTATTTATTATTTTTATTTTATGTGTAAGAGTGTATTGCTACATGCAGGTAGGTGCACCTGTGTTGTGCAATGCCTGTAGAGGTCAGAAGAGGGCATTGGATCCCCTGGAGCTGGAGTTATGGAGTGTATTGCCTGCATGTAAGTGCACCCCTGTCATGCAGTGTCCACAGAGGTTAGAAGAGGGTGTCGGATCCCCTGGAACTGGAGTTATGGATGGTTGTTAACTGCCGTGTGGGTGCTGGGAATTGAACCCAGGTCCTCTGCAAGAGCAGCCAGTGCTCTTAACTACTGCGTATTTCTCTAGCCCCATGACATTCTTTTTTAAAAAAAAAACAAAACAAAAAAAACAAGGAGGGGCTGGAGAGCTGGCTTAGCAAAGAGTGCTTGCTGCTCTTCCAGAGGACCTGAGTTTGGTTCCCAGCACCCATGTTGGGTGGCTCACAATCACCTGTAAGTCCAGCTCTAGAGGATTCAATACTATCTTCTGACCTCTACGGGCACATGCACACACACACACACACGCACACACACACACACACACGTGCGTGAGCACACTCATGCATACACACGTAC